TAAGTGAAGCCCACATTCACTTACTTTGGACCAATTCACCCAGACAAGAAAGAGCAGCACTTCTGAATTGCAAATGCAAACACAGGCCTATGTCAAGATTTCTTTTAAAAAAGGACTTAAAAAAAAAAACATTTAAAATATATTAGCATAGCATTATTTTTCAGACTACAATAGATTCTAGTCACTAAATTAAAAAATAGAAAAATCTTATCTTTTTATTAGAATTCATTTGGATTTGAGAATGTTCCCATTTACAGACTCACAATAAAATAGTAGCTTAATCAAAGATTTGTTTAATGCAAATATTTGGCATCCTACCAGAAAGACCATAAGGCTATTGTCAAATCAGTTAAATTTCTGTTACAAGCAGTAAGGAAGGCCAGGCCATCTGCTGTGGTTGGCAAAGAAATTAACATATTTTAAAATGCAAACACATCTCAGTCTCTCCCTACAGATCTCAAAGCCAGCATCTTGGCTATAGACAATTTGGATCTAATATTTAAGGACTTCAACTAAAATGACATCCAATGTCTTTAAATAGGCCAGAGATATCGAATAATAAATGTGTTTATTTGTTATTATGAAGGATGACAATTTCTTAGTTTAATACTTTGTGTCTTCTTGAGAAACATCAGTGGCAATTCAAATCAGCAAACAAGTATAGTGCCCTTGCTATAGACAAGTATTGGCCTTGGTACTTTGAGGCATATAATGAAAGAGGCCTTTAAGGAGTTTCCACTTTAGTGGGGATATGGATACATACTTGCTTGTCCACACAAGGCAGAATACTATCATAGAGGCCTGAATCTAGTGCCACAAGAGTCTTCTCATTTTAAAGGCAGAGGTGGCAAAGGCGTTCCGTCAGATGGCAGTTAAGGTGGATTTTGAGGAAAGTATGACTCATTAAGGAAAAAAAAAAAAAAAATACAGAGAACAACCTGAGCAAGACTTAGAGGAATAGAAGTGTGTGCTCTGTTCAGGAAACAGCAGGTGGTTCTGTTTGACTGGACACATTGTATAAAAGCAAGTTCAAAAATTTGCGTGGAAACAATAGTGGGCATCTATTATGTTTTTTGCCTGGCTTTGATTCTCCTTCTTCTGGAAATAGCACCCTGATTTTCCCTTAGGGAAACTAGCCCTTTTTTCAGCTCTCGTGACTGGAAGCTGATTGTGCAATGTCATGAATACTATCCAAAGGAACTTGGAGTAAAAAGTTATATATTTTAAATATCTTATTTAATAGGATGAAGAATCATAAAAATCTTTTTAAATGGAAAATGTTCAAACATAGCCCAAAAAACCAAAAAACAAAAAAAAACCCAGCCCAGTGAATCTCTATACTCATACCCAGACTAAACAATTACCAAGATTTTATCATTCTTCCTCTGCCTTTTACCAAAGTATTTCAAAGTAAATCCTGGACATCCTGTGTTTTCACTTCTACATATTTTAGTATGCATCTCTAAAAGGTATGGACATTTTCCTACAAACAAAATGCCATTATCTCACCTAATGATTCTTTGCGATTGACCGATACCTAGTTCATAATCAAATTTCCCCAATTATCTCAAAAATATTTTTCTGCTGGTTTGTTTGAATTATGCTCTAAACAAGATCCACACATGCCATGTGGTTTTCATAGCTCTTAAGCCTGTTTTAATCTATAGCAGCCCTCTTCGTCCCACTTTTTTTTTTCTTAATGCTATCGACTTATTGAGAAAGCCATGTAAGTTGTCCCTTAGAAAGCTCCCGATTCTGGATTAGTCTGATTATTTCCGTGTGTTGCTATTAAACTTGTTCCTCTATCTCCTGTATTTCTTAAATAGAAATTACCCTATATCTGTCTTATTAATAGTAATGCTAATATTGATCAATAGGTTTAGGTAGCAACAACCCGATTCTTCCACTGTAAAAATTTCTTATCTATTAGTTTCATCCATTGATGATCTTTGCCTAAATTCTATTTCATTAAGGATTGCAAAGTATTGATTTTCTAATTTTATCCCTCTTTCCACACTTTTTACCTGGAATTTCCCACTAAGGAAAATTTTGTGTCAAGTATGGCTATTTTGTCATTCTAAATACAGTTGATATAGGAAAGGCAAATTTCCTTTTAATTGCCAATTTTCAACACTTTAAAAAATAATCTTTTAAAACTGCAAAATGTAACATACAGAAAGCCACATAAAATAAATTAATACCTTACATTACTGTAAGCAAACGCCCTTGTAACCACCACTTAGGTGAGGAAATAAAACTTTGGCAGCCACTCCAGAAGCTCTCCATATATGTGTCCACTTATTATGATATTTATGGTAATTAGTTGTTTTTCTTAGTATTTTATTATGCAGTGCGCATCCCTAAATACTGTGTTAATATATGTTTTTTATTTAATATGAACTTTAATGTGACTTTTTTAAGAAAGTATCTTACAGGGTGCCCTTCCATTGCTTCCCCCGCTTTAAATTTATTTGTTAAAGAAACTCGATTGTGTAATCAGCTTCCCAGACTCTATAGATTTTACCGATTGTATCCCTATGACATGCTGTTTCATGCTCTATGTACTTTGTGTAAATTGGTAATTGGACATAGATTTGATTAGATTTCAGTTTAATTTTTGGAGGCAAGTTACTTCAATGTGAGTTTTCTCTTATGAGAAACATAAATGTCCGTTTCCCTCTTTTTGTGATATTAGTAGCTATCGATGCCTATTGTCCAGATCAATTCGATTAGGGGTTGAAAAATGATGATATTCTACCTTTATTACTCCTTCTTCATTTATTAGCTAGAATATTTCTATATAGAGCACCCCTGCCATACATTATTTGGTTTTCCAGCACAGCTCACATGAAAAAGGCAGGAACCAGAGACTCATAGAATTAGAATATCACAGTTACCATTTGTACTTTCTTGCATTATATGCACAAGTCTCAGCAAAAATCACCCATTCTACCACCACCAATATTATTGAAAAAGTTAAAAAACTGCATAAAAAATGCAAAAAAGTGCTCGCTTTGGCAGCACTAAAAATACATATACTAAAAAAATGCAAAAAAATTAAATTCAAAAAGTTGTTTTCATATACTCCCTCCATTTCCTATAGTTGTATTTTGTCTACATTTTTGGAGCATAAATCCAATACATAGTACATGTTCTCCTCTTTAACCCTAATGTCATCTTGGTATGAATTCTCACCTCTTTTCTACTAGATATTAAATTATATATCTCTAATTGGCATTTCTTAAAGAATGTGTAATTAGTTCTTTCCAAGACTGTGAGGAGGCACAAGATTTTAAATCTCTAGTAATTTCCCTCAGTTATGGAACTCATTTTAGGTAGATGAATACAGGTAGATGAAGGTAGATGAAGCTCCAGGAAATGGGCTTTCCCCCTAGCTATAAAAAAATGAATCAAGAATCTCAGCTAATTGGCTTTAGGGTGGGCTTTTGACCTTGTTTTGTCTAATGAGACTAAATAGGGGTAGGGGAGTGGAGAGTAAGGTGGTAGTGCCTAACGAGAGATTCTATGATTTTTTTTTCTATCTGATAAAAGGCTAAGAGCTGCCTTTACCACCTTGTTTGGGATGTATGAAGATATATACTATTTGGAGCTGTGGCAGCCATCTTGTGACCATGAGGCAATAGACACAAATGCAAAGTTAAAGATGATGAAACAGAATAATAGAATCTGGTTCTCAATAATGTTGAGCCATTAAATAAACCCTGCCTACAAAATTCTTAAGCTAAAAATGCGTCCTTATGGTTTTAGCCAATGTTTTCTCTTACTTGCAGCCAAAATACACAATACTTTTTCTTATAGATTTTCTTACTAGTTCGTTATATCCACTGATTATTTTATTCACCTGCTCTTGATTAAATTTTTTTCCTTCTGTCATTGACAATGCTAATACTTACTTTTAAATAACATCCAGGTAGTTCATTACTTTTATCTTGAGTGATTGTTGTCATTCTCAGGACTGGTTTTTCTTGAAGTACTTCAGAATTTTGGTTTGAGGCTCATCTTGCATGGGAGTCTTCTGGCCTTTCACCTCCCTTCCTCCTTTCCTCCTTTCGTCCCTCTTTCCTTCCTTTCTTTCTATATCTCTACTCTCTTCTTTCCTTTTAAAACTGATTGCATCACCTGTTTATATTCAGGGCTCCAGGTCTATGGTGATAGTAGGGCTATCATAGATCTGTATACACAGACAAGTAGGCTGTTTGGCTCAGGCCCTGACTACATGTTATCCCAGGCATTGGTTGTTGCTGCATCTGTTTCAAGAGCGAGGAGACTCAATCTCAGACCCTGGTTTCATTACTCTGTAGCAGTTAAAATTTCTGGTTCCTCTTTCCTGTTTCCAGACCTACAATTCAGGTTCTGATTTACAAGTTCATTGCACTTACCACTTTGTAATTCTGGTTCATCTCTACTGCTTTTGGATATAGCTATGCTTTAAAATTTCCTCCATTTTTTATTACTCCTCAAATAACTAATTCCATAGGGCTAACGTTTTAAAGCAAACATATAAATGAGCAAAAAAGAAAAGATTTTTTTTTTTTTTTTTTAAGACAACATAAAGCTCTAGGCCATGTGCCATTCCCTGGTGAACAGCAGAGCTCCAATGAGTAAGACCTGTATATCCTTCCGGATTAGTAGAAGAGAGTAGATTAGCAGCATTGTTCTGCATTGTACTGGTTTTTATCCATTTCCCAGAATTTCATGAGCTCAAATGAAGAACAGCATCAGGTCTGTTTATAAAACGGCATGCTGGCTATGTAAAAATAGATCCCATAAATCATCTTAAGATCCAGTCAGTTTAATATAAAATGTTTTTAATTGTTTTTGAAAACATTTAAAAAAACAATTTTTGAGCACTTTCAATAAAAAAAGAGAACTGAAATGCTACTGCAATATTCAACTACTGTAGTTTCAGCAGGTACAACAGACAACAAAACACTGGGGAAATCTGACTTTTTGCACTAAATGAAAACATGAAACAGGGCTTGTTTTTGTCATTTATGATGTAGTTAAGCACATTATAGTACAAGACTATTATATGAACCTCATATGCACTGCACAAAACACTTTCCTTCTTTTCAGTTCAAAAGTCAGTGCTTATTGCAATTATATGCAAAATTATTTACTTCATGAAGTCTTATCATGATAAACAGTATGCAAAATGTTTTAAACATCAAAACAATGAAAATAATCTGAGAAAAGAACATATTCAACAATAACTAAGCAGAATTAGTAAACATAAAAAAGTAAATAACTTGTGAATAACTATGCTTACCTGGTTAACACTGAACCAGTTTCAATACAGCCAAGAAAAAAAAAAAAGTGGTTACAGGAATACCTAGTACTGTACAAGATAAGTCAATAACACTCATGCACATTTTGTGATCATGTATTAACATGGTGAAGCAAACTAAACTTAATTCTTCCTGCTGTAATATTCTCATGTAAGAGAATAAGAAATAGAAATATCTCATTGAGATCAATGCACATTGCTACATAAGACAATTTTATCTGTCACTTTGATGACATTTTGTCTTTTCATAATGAAACACATTTAAAAAGTTTAATCTGTGGACTGTATTGGTTGCATTTATCCTAAGAGATGTGCCTACCACAGGTTCAACAAATTTAGTGCAATATATGAACCTCAGAAAGTTTGCTGGACGAATTCAACCAAATTTAAAGTGTTTGCTGCAATACTATACAGGGGGTTAAAAATCCTCCCGTCTTTATATTTTTATCAAAAAAGATTTCCATTATTTTTATATTAGTAGGAAGCTAATAATGTAAACAAGGGATTAGAATGGCCTCAAAAATCTCCTTTTCAGAGTATCTCATATTGAAAGGCTCCTATCATTTGTTAAAAGATATCACACAGTTTCCTTTGGGTATTGCATACTTTGGTGTGCAGTAGTGCTGTGTCTCAATGTACAGTGAAGAAATAACTAGCATCAAGGAAAAAAACCTAACAGATTATTAAATCAAGGTAACAGCAAACACACACAAATGCCAATAACTAGGACGTATGAATATATAAACCTCTGAGCCAACCCTAGCACCATTTATCAAAATATGGTAATACCCTACCTTGCAAATTTATTGAACAATGAAACCTTATTAAACCCTTCATCACAACTGTTAAATATTCATTGATTGTAGTCTTCTGATTGGCTTACTAATTGAGGTAAGGGAAAGCTTAGCTAGGTTCAAGGTAACGCAGCAATGGTTTAATGTTAGCTTTAAAAACTTAATGGCAACTTTTAAATCTATCTAAAAGTAATCGTGAAAACACCTAAATGGAGCTGTCAACTAGGGAGGTTTGTGTCAATACAAAATTTATAAATAATTATTCATAAAACGAAATGGGAGCCATAGAGAAACATTTTAAAACAAATCCTGAGTGCTTATTTTGCAATTGTGGTTATCACAATAAATAAATTAAGCATGTAATAAAATGCTCCTCTTCTTCAAGTACTATTGATATCCCCCTCTGTTTTATCAGAGATGTAAAGATTTGTGGCTTCAGACCTCAGGTGGTAAAAATGTTTTTTTTTGTTCAGTTTTTTATGTTATCTCTCTCCTGCTTGTTTTTCAAAGAGGTCCCAGGATCAAGCTGTATTACCATATTCAGGAGGAGCGAAGGAGTCAGTTACTAACTCTTAAACAGACTTTTAACATGTAGATACAGCCACTGTGATGAAACTAAGAAAATGTTATTTTCCTTCTAAATTCCCCTATCTCAATTACCAAATAATAAAGCATGAAATAGTTTTTCTAAAATATATTTATTCTATTAAATTATAATGTCTGGAGTTATTCTCGTGTGTATGTGTATTCATGTCTCTGTGTATGTGTTGGCTCCATGTTAATATTTTAAAATAAGACTAATGCAAGGTCACAAATATAAATGGTTACTAGTTTTTCCTTTGAAAACATTTTAGTGCAGCTTCTGCCTTCCTTAAATTAATATTTAATTTCCCATTATTTTCTCCTATTTAAGCCCTTCATTGCAGGTGCAAATGGTACTGAAGTCCCAAAAAATTCTACAGAGATTTTCATTCTACAGTAGCTCTATGCTTCAAGCCTAAATACTTATAAAAACCTGAATATTATCCCTGTTTCGAGGAAGACCTTCTTGTTACAATTCACCTTTGCTATGATTTCATTTCTAAAAGATAATGCCAACGACAACAAAAAAGCCTATACCTAAAATCAATGGTTTCCTCTAAATTCTGTGTAGATCAACCAATGAATTAAGATGAATTAATACAAAATAAAGTCTAGATTGCTCTTGTAAAAGCTGGTTAGTCAATTATTTACTAACAAACAATGTGATTAAAACGGGGAACATTATAAAACTTAAAACCTAATACTTGTTCTTCTACAGCCTACTGTCTTCAGAAACTTTTTAAGAACTGAGGCGAGTCTAACCATTTCCTATTGAAGAAGAAACCACTTCTGCAGCAAACTCTTTTGAAATGTCACAATTAATAGTAAGTGTTTCTGCTGCGGGAGGCACTTCCATTAAGACAAATACAATACATATGTCTTTAGATACAGTGTGCTACATATTATAAAACACAATTTAACCCAACATTTCAACAGTAGGATGGTCCTTGCTTTCTATCCATTCAAAACCTGATGAAGTCATAGAGCTCATAGATTCACTGCAAATTTGCTGAAATAATGGGTCATTCTTTAATTCTTCCAGTGTAGCTTCATCATCTTGTCCCTGCTGACGACCTGGATCAAACAGTAGATTTGGGTCTAAAGTGTTCAAATCATTGATGCTGCCTGAGAGCTCAGAAGACAACCTGATATCACTAGAGAAATCAGATGCAGTAGTAGCAAGATCAGATGCTACCTGACCTACCAGCTGCTGGTTGGTTTGCAAGCCGTCTCCACTCAACAGGTCTTTAACAGTGCTACTGAAATCTAATTGTTGCTCTTCAATTTCTGATTGTGCTTGATTATCTCCAGGAGAAAAACTGATCTGATCGGTGCTATTACTTTTGGTGAGGTAAGATGGTGTTTGGAATTCATAAACTGAAGTGCTGGAATCGATCATATTCTGAGGATTGGCACTAGGAAAAACAGTAGAAGTTTCCAAAATCTGAGTGAGATTCATCCGAGCTGTGTAATTGGAGGGCAGGTTGTTCATGCCCAAACCTCTCACTGCATCATCATTGTCAGAATCTAGTTTACTCAACAAAACATTGGTTATTTTTTTACTGTTTGTTTGCTTCTGAAGAGCGTTTGGGAAGGCTGTCTGCATCATGACTGTCAATGGAACTGACTGACTTCTTTGAGCTATGTTGTTGGCACATGCGTCTGTATGAATATTTGTGAAAACATGAACGTCTGGGGTTACTGGACTTCCAAAGGGGGTCACATTAGATCGGGGGATATTAGATACTGGATAGAGGGTGCTTCCACTAAGATTACGTTGGCGATGAACAGCAGGGCTCACACTCCGGCATCTGAAGTTGCTGCTGGCAGACGAATTAGTTCCTTTATTGTCAAGAGGAGCAGGGACTGCAAAGCCCTCTTGTTTGTTGGTACTATTTACAGTGGCACCTTGATGCTGCACAGGAGAGACAGGAGTCAAACGACCAAAATGAGTGTCATGATGTCTGGATTGAGACTGATAAGACTGTCCAGGCACAGCAAAAGCATGAGGTTTCCTGAAACGGTCTTCCACTAACTCCTGATAGCTTGGGAGAATGCCATGGCCAGAAACTGAAGAATTACCAACCCCGCTATACCCATTATTCATCCATTCAAGCTTGGTTTTGTCAGGGTGTGTGGCCATGGGTCTTTGCATCGGTTTCACAGGACTACTTGAGACAATGCTGGCATCATGATATGCCATACTGGAGCTGATAGGGGTAAATGCAAATGGATTCCTGCATTCAACAGGGCTGGGAGGGACACTACTGCTGCAGTTAGAATGCGGAGTACCAATGGGTGTATGTCGGCTGCTTCCTAAAGCACTATCCACAGGTGTGGTCTGGGCAAGCCTGGAGCAGGGGCTCTCTCGTGACAGACTCTGAGACCCAGCAATCATTTCGGATGTTGGGGTTGGGGTTGGGGTTGGGGTTGGGGTGGGGGTGGGTGTGGGTGTGGGTGTGGGTGTGTGGATTGGAGTGCCATTGCTATGGATTGGATGATAGAAGTGCGTGCTGGAGACGTGAGATGACATTGGAGCTCCTGGAGTTACTGATTGATTCTGAAGGGTCATTCCCAAACAGTTACCATAAGAATGAGAATTGTTCATTGACATTTGCTGCTCCATAAGCACCAGCTCTTCTACAATACTATCCTGTGTAAGTTCATCATCAAAAGGAAAGTAGCTTTCATTTGTCTGGGAAACAGAAGGCTCAAACTCCTTCAGTTCGGACTGTAGAGGTAATTGATCTGAAGACTGTGCTTGTATTTGATTCAAAGACGATTCTTGTATCTGGCTATGGAGCTGCTGGGTATACGTGTCCTGTGGCATTCCTTCTAATTCCCAAACAGATTTCTCTAAGTCATTGATATCAGAGTGCTCAGGAATTGTCATAACACTGATATCTTGCTGTTGTTCACAGCTGGCAGATACAAACTCAGAATCCTTAGTGACTTGTTGCCATTCATTTAGATTAAAGCTGCCATCTGTTTTTGAATCACTGTCCAAGAGAAAGACACTCCCTTCAAGTTTCACTTTTATATCTGGAGATGATGATGGTGTCTGCTGTTCCAAAGCTGAATCACTGGTAATCAGAGCAGAAGAATTCAAGGGTAGATTTGCCACTATGTGTGAATTGACATTTATTGATACCTTGCTAGGAATCAGAGCACCTGCTATTGAGCTTTCTGTTTTCCCTGAATGTGGAACCTTTTGGTCCTTCTTAACACTGCCTGGTTTCTGACCTTCAATGGTAACTGCAGAAAGCTGTTCCACAATTGGTTTCTTTACGGGAGGCACCTGGGACTCTTGCAATGCAGAAGACAGTCGCTTTCTTGGACTTTTAGTGCATAATTTAGGGTCTTTATTTATTGAGTCACCATTAGATGGTGAGCTGGTGCTGGTGAATGTTAAGTTCTGCGTGGCAACTGAGAGAGTGATAGTGCTTTGATTATTGCCTGCTGAAGTGCCTGGCAGGATTTCATTACAGCGACTTTTACATTTGGTCCTCTGGTCACAGACCTTAGTTGCTTTTATTTCAGTGACACCTTCAGTTGAAGGCTTTTGCCCAACTCCATCTGTGTTACTTTTCTGTACCGAAAGGGCACTAGGTGTTGTTTTGGGACCTTTAGTCCCATCAGAGTTCTCTTGGCACTGTACAGGATGCTCCTCTGATGATATTTCAGGTTCCATTTTGACTTCCACAGCAGATGTCCCCCCAGCACTGCTGGTTTTGGAGCCAGGAGACTGAAGTGAAACAACAGAACCATTCTTGATTTGTGGAAAGGTCCTTGATTCTTCTGTTGTTCCTGTAGCACTGTTTACTGAGGCAGAATGTTTAAGAGGGGCACTACTATTGCTGGGTGTGAGGGATATTGTTGTCATTTTCACCACATTTAGAGAACTCATATGTGAAGTGGGTACAACAGCCGTTTTGATGGGACTGCTAGTGAAGAGGACAGTAGTTGGAGAGCGGATGGTGAGAGCACTGGTGCTGGCTGGTTTAGGTAAGATCTGAGGGTAGCGGTGCCGGGCAGAACGATCCCCACCAGGACTGGCAGGAACGTTCTGAGGAGTCTTTGGTGCCTGTTTCACAGACTGCATGTGCTGAGTGACCACCTGTACGTTGAGGGGAAGAACTTTGCCATCAGAAGAACTCATTGGACTTGGTGAAGTTACCAACTGCCTGGTCCGCTGGACCTGGTAAAAAGTGGAAAACACACACAAAAAAATCAGATTTGACAAGTCTAGGATATAAACAATAAGTCATACATCTGTATAGTATTAAGGCATTTAATAAATGTAATGCCAAAAAGGAAAAATAAGACAGTTCCTATGTTAGATGAGAGTTCTTCTAGACTAGATTTTATACAATCAGACCCATCAATATTATAAGAAATGTTACACAGTACAACAGAGTTACAAAATATAATAATATGTAAGAAGAACGTTAAGATGATGAATACTTGCCAAAACCATGATTTTTAAGGAGGTTACAGGAAGAGGAGATAAAATCTCGAAGAAACATTCAACTATAAAGGTATCTACCAGAGTCTGTGTCAAGAAGATGGCTCACAGGGGAGACAGTCTTATTAATGGTACCTTGGATATCAGGAAGTAAACCACTGTGGGTAAGGTCTCAGATAAAACTACTGTCTCTCCAAGTTTGCTCTACAGTGAATACTGCAAGAGTGTGGTTACCAGGTAGTCCATGTTTTAATGACATGATAATGATAATGATGATAAGAATGAGAAAAACGACAAGATGAAATATCTCCTTAATATTTATAATAAAAAATACCACATGTATGGTATTTAGCATGATGCACTCTCATTTTAAAAGCCCCTTTCAGCATAACCTCAGTTGTGTGAGATGGGAAAGGAGAAGGCTATAATCTCTATTTTTTGATAAGAAAACAAGACTCGAAGTAGCCAAGGGACCTGCCCAAGGTCCTATGTCCAGCAAGCCACAGAGCTAGGTCTACGTTAAAGCATCATCAACAGCCATTACAATTTTGCTCTATCTGAAAAGAAAAAAAGTTTAAACAAAAAAGTTTGCAATTGGGTCATCTTGGCTTAGCTAGAGATTTAACGACTCTGAAAATGACTCATCTCTTACATGCTCTGACTGGTTACGTGCATATTTTATACAGCTTGGATTTCTGTATTTTCATTTACATTCATTTTATAGCTCACTTTGTAATCAACCATGTATATCCTGACTAAAAGACAATCAACTGAAGCTGAATCTATCTGAGGTCACAAAATCAGTTTCTAACTGAATCTACATCCAGACTTGTTTCCTTCTCATTTGCTACTTTCAACTAAATGACTGATATCCTACCAATCCAATAAAGCCATACACTATTTAATGATATTACCGGAATGGGACTGGGGACAGCTGCCACAACGATACCAATAGGTTGAGGAGAAAGGATTGCAGGATTTCCATTAGAAAGATTAGTCACTCCATTGGTTGTAGTGCCTTCTGATTTTTTTGCTGAGGATTCTCCTGGCAAAGGGGATTGTAGTTTCTGTTCCTGCTGCTTCTTCTGAATTTTCCGTTGCAATTGCTGTTTAGCATCAATAGGAGATGGCAAAGTCTTCATTTGAGGCTGAAAGGAATTACTTTCAGCTGTAGGTATAAAAGCAGACGGCTGGGTAATTCCTTTAATTCCTGAAAATAAACAGAAAGGAGAGCTAAAATAAATACTCTCCTTTATAGAATGCAGTTACACCTCAATTTCTTTGAATATGTAGTCATCTACTGGGCAAAGCAACCCAATCCAGCATATTTTAACCCGATTTCTTATAAAGCATAAGTATTAGACTTCTAATTTATAAACATTTGTCAATATGGTTTTAACTGACACCATAAAATATGGTTCAACTCAGGTGAGAGGTAAACAAGCAATAACAGATGAAGATTCTGAAGAGTAGTAGCTATGTCACAAATGTGTAGAAGCTAAGATAAATACTGAGAGCATGTCTTACGTTTTATCAATAGATGTCAGAAATTTCCATCCCTCCTTCTCTAATTAGAAATTCATTCATTTCCATGATTTTAATAATCAGCCCACGAGGGGCACTCAGTAAATATTTGCTGAAACCATATCCTAACAAAAATTTATATGGAGAAGTCTTTAATTCTACCAGAAATTCATGAAAATAGGTACCACTATTTTAATTGCTACTGTATAATTATTCCCTACGACCTATGAGAAATTAAGCACAGTTTCTTAATAAGACCAAAGTTAAGATATTTCAAAAAGTGTCACTGAGGAAACTTTTTACATTGGTAATAAGATTAACTCCAAGAAAAAGGAAAGCAAGAGATAAATTTTTGATCTCAGGAAAAATGGTTATATAGCACCATTAATTTTTTAAAAAGCTCATTTCACACTTAAGGTGTGACACTAAGATCATTAGAAAGCTGTGGTTGGTAAAAACTATGTAGAGAGAAAATAGAGAGGACCACACCATCCTGCTGATACCTCTTTCTATTCCTTTCTCCAGCCCAATTTTTGCTTTTTGTTATTCAGTTGGGGAGGGGGAGACAGAAAGGAGAGAAAGAGTGACTGTAAGCTCTCTCCCACACACTCACTCAATAATGACTCTCTTGACTCTCCTTGTATCTACATAAGTACTACTTTTTCTCACCAAAACCAGCTTGCTGGACTACACTGCTCAATTCTGGCCCCCAGCCTCAGCTCTGGCTTCTCGGCACCTGCACCCCTGACAGCCTCTGCCAAAGGCTCAAAAAGCTGTCTTACCCCTCCTGCCAGCGTTTCTGGACAGAGATGAGTTCCAAGCAGCTGACTTACAAAAGAACATTTGTAACACAACCTGTTCTTAATATGGAGACTTGATTTATAAAAAACCAAATTCACCTTCAAAGGATGAAGATTCATCACTACCAAAGGTACTAAAAAAATATATAGGAATGGCTGAGAACAAAATTTCAAGAGATTCTAAAAATGTTTTGAGTAATGATACAACTGTTACAATCAGCTTCCCAAGCAGACTACTTTCACAAAGGGAAAACACATGTTTATATATGTAATAGTCAGTATTTTTGTTTAAAAACACACTTTTCTTTAAACTTACGCTTTAAAAATTCATTCAATTCATTCCACATTTCTTTCAGTCAGACTTTGTGAATAATGTGGAAAACAAGATAGAGATCTTTCTTTTCCCCATGATACCTCCCCTAAGCCTTCAACTTGTTAAAGGTACTCTTCTTGGTATCAGCAGGGGTAGGAGAAAGAGAACACAGAAAGTTGAAGGGCCACTATCTTTTAAAGCTTCATTTTGCCAGAAGATAAAAAGACAGTATGGTGTAATGCAGATAACTTGGGCTTTTGAGACAGACAAGTCAGATTTCAAATCCTGGCCCCTTTATGTATACAACTGCCCATGGACAAATTACTTAACTTCCTCAAGTCTGTTTCCTGATCTGTAAGATAGGAATATCATCTACCTCATAGGACTGCTGGGGGAATGAAGTGACATATGCAAGCTACCTAGCTAGATAAGGCTGTTCAAGTATTCTTCTATTTATGTGTAAGTGTAAGCACACAGATATGGGTCATACAATTTATATCTAGACAGGAAAAATTATGACAAGGCTCTTGCAAGAGATTGTTTTGCTGAAGTGGGCCCAAACTGACCATAAAATGAAAGGACAAAAC